TAACTAGGGTTGAGTTGATCAATACATCCCTGATGAAATTACACAGAAATGGAGATAAGTGAAATCCTCCGAAAGACACCACTGGTTATCATCACTTTAAACGACAACTCTCCATAAGCCCTTACACGGCTGCGTGACTTCAAGTAAAGCGCCTTGATTACTACGATGTACTGTCTCAACACTTCCTTCACAGGCAAACATTGCAACATCACCTCTCAGTCGGTGTAGTCAAATTCTGACTTCTAGTTAGGAAGTCTTGCAAGTGTTGGACGCCAGTATATGTTCCAGAATTTTTCCAAAGGTTAAGATATGGTCACTACACCACCATCAACCTGGTTTTCTCGTATTCACTTCTCACCAGCGCCATTTGATCTATGCATGATTACTGAGCCTAGAATACCTTAAGTAACCATACTAGTGAACCTAATCCCTCTCTTCGATGATTATTGCAGCAAAGACTTATCTACGAAATATGAGGAACACATAAGGCAAAATTGAGATTCGTAGGTAGGTGGTAAATGACCCTGAAAGCATGGTTAACATCAATCTCGTGTTCTGTATCCACAAAATGAGATAGAATAGAACTACGAATAGATTTTGTATGACCTTTGCTCAACCAACGACGCAGGGTGATGTTCGGAAATTGGACGAGAAACATGCCTAATTGTACGGCCTTTGCAACTAACTGGTTCACTACACACGAGCAGTTAAATGTTTTGATAGATACACATGGAAGAGTGAAATTAGGCAGCTTGTCTTTTACTCCTGAACGCAAAAGAAGAATGCTTTTGAAGACACAGCGTAATTCGACAGCAGGTAATGATCTTCGTTTTACCGCATTTCTAAGGCGCTGTCTTAGTATCTCGCTGATATTGTCCCCAAGGAACTATATTTTTAAAACTAGGGCCTTTTTAGGAATGTTGGTACATTGGGCTGGTTTGATTTTAGATTCATATTCTTGTCAATTAACTTTTCTGGATAACCATTTGCATTCAGTATAATTCCATTGAGATCTTATTTAACATATCGATATTATTTAAAATAAACACTAATATTGTTATTGACTACTAATCTAGAATATTCTATGCATATAAACATATGCATATATAATTGTAGAGCCAGAAGAGGAGAAAAATATCAAAAAGGATATTCTTTGCTCAATTATTTTGTGTTTTATAGATGTCTGAACGAATATTTTCGTTTTCTCTATATATTTAATTTACTATTCACCCCACCCCCACACTCTTGAACTTCCCATCATAATCTGCATAAATCCATTCTATCGTTCCATTTCGCATTTTGTCTCTAGTCGATGCTTGTTTCCCAGAAAAATCCAAAATCGACACCCCCCTTGTCTAATTATTCTATGAATAGTTACTCTTTCAATACTGAGCAACTCGTCAGCCTACAACCTTTTTTTGAATTATGTCGCCTGTACTTCCTATCTATGATTCGAAGTATATTCAGAAACATTGAAACTAATAATTCCATTCTGTTTAAGATGTACCGTGCAGTTGAAGAGGAGAGTCCACGAATTAAAAAAAGAACGTATTGTCCTGTCTGAAAATACGTGTTCATTCTTTCTTTCTTAATTGTAAAGTTCACAAGAAAGCCAACACGTCAAGCTAAAAACTGTCGCCTAGACAGATAAGCCTCACAACACGTCAATCAGTATTCATACATACCTAATCCTACGCTGATTCACATGATTTTACAATGAGAAAAACCTGGGAGTATTAGACAGCCAGCAGCAGCTGAAACCAACCGAAGTTTGAGTGCAGGAACCCCCGGTTACAAGGACAGCAAATACTCCATGAGGCTACTGGAACCAGAGGCACAGCGTCGGTGGAACAGAGGTAGAATGCTTGCTAACCACGCATTTGATCAGGGGTACGATGCCCAGCGGATGAAGCTATCCTTTGTCTCGTCAACCTACTAGTAAGACTGGTGAAGAAGGAAGGTTGGGCATCAGGCTGGTTACCAACAGCATTCAGAAATAAAAAAAGTACTGTTGCTACCAAGATTTCAAGCATCTAGGTAGAAACCCTATGCTACACTGCGAACGGAAGAGAGTTTAAAAAAATACCCGATACAACAGACAGCTCAACAAATATAAATTAAACCAACAGCAAAGATCGTGACCGGCGAGGTACAGCTGGTCAGATCAGCTGTGAGGGAGGACAAATACTCGCTAACAACGACATTGGTCGTCTAGTGCCTCTCTGCCAGTCACGCTATATCGCGTCAACTGGCTAAATTTACAATTCGTCGATTGACACCATTGGATCGGGTCCCAGTGAGTAGTGCCTTAATGCTCTTCGAGCTCGCCTCGATGGTGATGGGTGTATACTGCCAAAACAAACTAGGACTAAACACCTGACCAGTACTCCATTACTCCTTATCCAATGCTTCGATAGCTTCTCATTAAGTCCTGTAACCAATCAGATCAGAACAAATCCCCGCCAAGAAACGCTTGATGAACAGAACAACAAAAAAAGAATTTCATAAACAATTTTCACACACAAAAAAACACATCATTGAGGTGACTATTTATTTTCTCGACAACAAATCAATAATATTGTAAACATACTTTTCTCCTTGACATGATATTCACATTCACTTGTGTGCAATGACAAGAAAAGGAGAAAGATATACAATCATTGTTATCATCACAATAATACTACTAATAAACATCACAGAGAAGAGTTTATAAATAAAATACGCGCCAAAAATTCACAAAAGACAAACCAATTTCACCTCTTTCTCTCTCCCTCCGTCTCTTCTAGTAAACACACATCCACACACCAGAGAGAAGGAAAGAGAGAGAGAAACAAGAGAGACAGAAAAACAAATAAAGCGTTAAATGATGAAGTAAGAGCTTTTTCGCCTGACTCCCATTCACTGACAGTTTCAACAACCATTGGCGTCACTTGATGATCCACCTGTGATTGAGAGGCATCAGATGCATCGATCGCTCGTAACCTTCTCTCCGAGATCCCTACCAAATTGAGTTGATCCATCCTCCAAGTCCATCCACGGAGCATGGAAGGTAGGGCGACGGACTAGTCGCTTAGTTTGATTGAGGTAGGTGGTGGTGAAAGGTCGACTGTCTGAAGTACTCTCAGTTTCCGCCAACTCCTCCATTCATGTCATTTCCACACCACGACATTCTCCATTAATATTATCACCTTTCTGAGAATCCATCCTCTTAGTAGTTGTAACACGACGTTCAAATACTCAAACAATTTACTTATACTGTATCCGAGTAAATTGTTTGAGTATTTGAACGCCATGTTACCACTACTAAGAGGTTCACACATATGAATTCTCAAAAAGGTGACAATAATAATCGACAATGTCGTGATGACGAAATGAAATCAATGGAGAGGAGTTGGCGGAAACTGAGAGTACTTCAGACATTCGACCTATTCACCACCACCACCACCTACCTCAATCAAACTAAGCGATTAGTCCGTCGTCCCACCTTCCATGTTCGGCGGATGGACTTCAGAGATGGATTAACTCAATTCGATGAAGATTTGCAAAATGATGAAGTAGTGACACAAGAGTGACTCGCTGATTAAGTAAAAATATATTTGATGATGAGTGTACATATACACATATATATCACAACGGAATAAACAAACGAACAGGGGCGCACGGGATACAAGTACACAAAAACAAAATAAACTGGGACAAAGGATAATAGGACAAGATAGGAAGAAACTTATCATTGAATAATTACATATCATCGATTGTACATCCATGATATTTCATATCTAGGAGGAGAGGGGAGGAAGATGATACAAGACAACACTGTCATACACACAAACATGTATGCAATTCAACTTATAAAAGTTCATGCAAACTGGGGAGAAAAAAGAAGAAAAATTGATTAGCTAATGATTTTTTCCTCTTCATAATCACAATAGTTATGAGTAATCTTCAAAAGGAGGATATCAACAAAAATCAGAGTATGGAATGTGGCAGTAGTGGTTGTAAGTAAACACAAAGGCATATTATATTCACGTTTGATGAAATCGGGAAGAGAGAGAGAGACAGAGGTCACGGTGAACAACACAGCCAGCCACCCACCCACCCACTCAACCAACCATTCAACGAACCAATCATACACACACACCACACATAAGACGAGGAATGTGCATACACTGGTCCTACTAAATCACAACTGTTCTCTTTTTCATTGATTTGTCATTGATTGATTCATTTTTGCATTATCACAGAAGGTTGATACAGCTGTCCACACTCACACACACACGAACACGCAGCGTCCACTTCCTCTATATCTATGTCACACCTCTCTGAGATACGAATGTTGTGTAAAGCAGACTACTACAACTACTAAAACACTGAAAACAAACAGAACATACAGACAACAGGCACAACGCGATATACACACACAAACTTGTTCGTCTTTTTAAATATCAAATACAACTTATTTTGGAATGAAGTGAATAAGTAGAACAGAGTTGGCTAGAGTAGTAGTCGTAGTCATTGTAGCTGTATAGCTGTAGCGCACTGTAACTAGCACTACTCGTCATCATATCATTCTTTAATTTCAGGGAATAATGTAGACAATTTCAGTGGAGTAAGCAAAATATGGAATAAAGCTAACCAAAGCAGACACACAAACAGACAGACAGACACAGAAGAGACGCATTCATTGTACAAGAGACAAATGGTATCATCTTTGTGGATGTTGAATAATATTTCACATTACACATGATTCATTGATTGATTGATTTCCAGCAGCCAGGTTGTATGTATGTATGTATATATGTATGTATGTAGTATATATGTAGAGAGAGCGCGACAGTGACAGGGAGAATATCCCACAACAACGACGCTACCCGTTCTTTTTCTTATCATCATCATATGGTTATTCTTTTACTAAGCTTCACATGTGTTCTGCATTAACAATACACAGACACACTCACGTACATCACAGACAACACAAAGTTAACATTGAACTAACTGGATTACATGATAAACTTGAGTACAAAAACATTGAGGAAATTAACACCTGCAGAGAAGAAGAAAGAGAAGAAAACACGAGAAATTGTCACATGTATTTAACGCCACATATTATGAAGAAATAAATACACCATACAATTGAAAACAGGTGTCAAAGTGAGGCGTAATGGGTGTGGGGAGGGTTACCAGAAATCATCTAGTCCATGTAACCGACAATCACTGATCGGTTTTCGTCAAGCGGGTGAATTTCATTTTCGAGGGAAAACACTTGTGGCCACAAAATCTCAATCGAAGAACACTTACACATCTATCCCTTTCAAAATCTTTCTAAGACAAAAATATTATCTACAGTTGTTAGTAGCTGTCAATCAGTTATACAGACTGATTTAATCTAAATATGAATCTCCAGTTCACTACTCACGGGGTTACGGTTACTGTTCGTGGATACATGTTCTCAAGTCTTGTGCCACAGAGAAGTTGTGTTCAGTGGGATCAATCACCCTATGTGTCAAGGTGAAGACAGAGATTGATAGCTCATCACCAATTGAAATAAATAGAATTCATGGGATCACTGGATTCCGCCGCCTCCAGTGACTGAATGGACAGCGAGTCTGCAGTGAACTAACCTAACTTAAACATCCTGAATTTGATCCCTGGTAGCTAGCTAGCTGGGAGTGAGAGGTGCAGCGCTCACTGCAAAACCTAATAAGTCAAATTAAATTATAATCGAAATCCCAAAAAATCGCTCGCATAAACTAAATATTCTCATCCAATCAAAATTCAGCACAAGTCAACCCAGCCAACGCTCGCTCGATAAAGCTATCAAGATAATTTATTATGCTGCAGAACTCACTCGTATTCCATCCTTAACACCATCATCATCATCATCACCACCGCCAAGCAGGTACTTCAACAATCTCGAAAAGACCAGCCATCAATCCTACAAACTTCAAACTGCTCGCTCAGTATGCATCAATTTCAGTGCGTTTGCCGAAGCATATATATATATAGGAACAAGAAACTCTGTTTTGGAAACAACCGACATGCAAGAGATGACTGTTCAACAAATATGTAGAAGAAAATGGAAGTGGATTAACCAGGCATACGCCATTGAGGAGGCCGTGAAATGACATCACGGCCAATGCAGGCTGTCCCTCGAGTGGAATCCGAATAGGAAGTGATGAGTGGGTCGTCAATAGAAGGGTAACATGGAGGAGATCGTGCGAGTAGGAGGAGATGACAGGTTTTGGGTGATCGTGGAGGCAGCCAGCTGAAGAGGACAGCAGAAAATAGAAGTGGAGATGTGTTGTTGAAGCCCCATGTTTCATCCGGAACGCAAGGGAATAATAATGATAAGTTCGACAGACAGATCCATTCAAGCATGTCAAATAAACTGAGTTAATGGCAATTGAGTGGAAAAAAGCGAAAACGGATCAACTGTAATCACATGAATATCGGTAAATAATGAGATCCCGGTTAGTGAATTATCCTATGAATACATTACGCTATACCACGGGATACATTTAATTATGCAAGAACACATGACACCAGTGGAAGAGACAGACCAGACTATGGAATGCAGACGACATACTTCGAGGCGTCCAACACTTGTTGTATTCCTTATCATCTGAAGGTGGCATTGATCCCGTCGACCAAGAGCTACACTGCGGTAAGTCTCGGGGATAAAGGGATTGTCGAGAATTTAAATCGCGTTAATCAAAATACTTTGCTAAAAGTCGAACAGAGTTTATACAGAGATATTGTCTCAAGTGACGATAATCACTGATGTACGTCAAGTGCTCCCATTTTTGATAATAGGTGATTGGAGGCGATCGGAATGAGGCCTTCGACCCAGACATCATGCTCGTTGGCACTCACCAGTCAGCAAGGCATATCTGCAACCTTGAGGAACTAATGTCCCTTCTGAGATTCGAACCCGAGTCACACAGTGCTGCAGTTAGAGATGTTACTTTAATTGAGCTATTCGGGTTCACAACTGGCCTCCTGTAGAACTGTGGCATCAAGCAAAGGACTAGACACATCACACTAGTTACTAGTGTCTTATGAAAGCTCCTATTTCTGTTCAGTTTTTATCAAACATGTACCATCAATGCTAACAGACATAATCCATTTGCACCAGTTAAGCACAAACTTGTACGAAGAGAGAGGTCTCGTCAACTTATAGTTTACGGATGATATAGTTGTCTTTCTAGGCGAAGATGCTGACGAAATGTAGAGTTTTATGAATACCTTGGGAAAAAGTCTTTATATATGTTGCATGTCACTTTGTTTCTTGTCAAATGTGAAATAATACTGTAGAACTGGTGTGAACCGACACCTACTTTACAGTATATACAAGTGAGGTGGTAGAACACGCACTGAACCAATAGAAATTTATGCATATAACCAACTCAGTTAATATGTGACTTTTAGTCAACGGTTCTCTTCTATTTTATTTTTAATTTTAAACAGATCTTTCTTCTATGAAACTTCGATCGCCGACAATGCCCAGTTTGTAATGAAACACCACCTTACCCAACCCAATGAAGTAATATACTCTAGGACTGGACATAATAAATTTCTTGATGTTATTATGCCTTTCCTTGTAAACAACAAGTTTTACTCTAAGTCTACATAGTTGAAAAGTACAAGTAGAACGCTGGTTGTGTGTGATGCCACAGTTGGGCAATACATTGGTTATGTAATCAGCCGCATAAGTCTTGCAAGGACTCTTAAAACTGATTATTCTAAGATTTTAACATATTGTGATCCACTGATATAGACTGAAAATGATATATATGAAGTGCGTGATGTGTGTACGACGCGCAGTTATATATGCACTCACTAACAAGATCCGATTATCGATTAACTGATTGATTGATCAATTAATTGAACCCGTATTTTCAATTACATTCAAAAACAACTTTTTTACTCGAGTGATGATTAAGCAAAGCGAGAAATATTATATATATATATATATATATATATCGATTTAATTATCGCTTTTTTTATTCAATGAAATCAATACTACTCTATTGATTGTATATATAAATACTAACCGGTAAGTTTAAACTAATAAAAAACCACAAGTTATCAAATGAACAGCTAAAGATTTCCTCTGTTTTTTTCGACTGAATGAATGCCTCACTGCGTCGGTGACTGATAATGGCATAATGCTCACCAGTGGCGAAGATTGCTTGAGGTTCGATTCCCTGTGTGGATGAAGTGTCTTCGATCACGCACATGGTATGCTATGAAAAAAGTGGGCGGAGGTGGGTGTGGGTGCATACAAGTGAGGTTATCCACCTCAGTCTTGTAAAAACCAAATAACCACTACTGAGCCGCCTTCAAAGCTTGAAGCTCAATGTCCTACTGAGAATACAAAGTAAAAATGAAGACACTATAAACGTACGTAAGGCTTTCTCTTTCTGTGGAACTTATGAAAATTATGTGTAGAACTAAGCTACTTATCAAAATGTTGCAATTTCGCCTAACTCTTTTCTAATAACCTAACCCTAAATAAGTTGACACTGATTCGATGAGGAAGGTGGCAGGTGACTCCACGTGTGTAACACATGTCAACCGCGATTTAGCTACACAATGTCATTAATTGACTCATTCTCCATAAACAACGCTCTACATCTCCTCTCACCTCAACATTATTCACTAAACTTCTTTAAAGTCCTTTTCGGTGTGTGTGAGTTTGCTAGCCTCACGTCCAACTGTTCCTCTTTACTCAACTTACTACCAGAGGTAATTCCAAATAAGTTTGCTTATTGCATGTATCACACAGTGAGTGGGACAGTATTATTTACCGGATGACAGAGTCTCGGACAAAATTTATAGCTGTTCATAATCATATCAATTATAATCACACGACTTTGAAACTTGAGTTTTATAGTTATCTTTGTCCTCTCCTATTCGTCGTCGTTGGGGTGGTGGAATTTTCCAGATATCTGGCTGGACGAGTGTTGAATCATTCCTATTACACGTATTCCCTATCAGTTGATTCGACAAACAAAGCTTCTGTTATCAATCTCTCTCCTTCCACCCCGCTGTTACATGTGATTTTAAAACTGTCATCCTATCCCATCCTATTGTGCCGTTTAGTGTAACTACATGTAGTGTTATATCTGAACTATTCTCTAGATTTATTATCTTATTCGGGTCAACTAATCTAGATTTTGCTGCCAGATTTTTACACTCGGCTAGTCTGACTGACTGCACCTGTTCTACTGCTTTGACCTATGTATTTGACCTGACAATCACAGAAGGCAGTGTATTAGATAAACTAAACTGTTTTGTTTTAAGGGCTCCACAGCATTGATGCTTTAACCGACAAAGCTTCTTTCTAATTGAGTGTGGGTGGTTTGAATGCCAGCCACTTTTATTCCTGCATTGTTAAGAATTCTGCGTAAGGTTTCCGAAGTTCCTTCTTTGTATGGGAGTAAGTACTAGCGATGATTTAGATTCCTTATGGTTGACGTTGTCTTGCGTATGTTTACCATGCATGTCGTCATTACTATTATTACTATCACTATCACTACTATCATAATTGATTTTATTTTTACACTTCCCTACGTACATTCTGACTAATTTGTCAGGGTAATTATTAAGTTTCAAGGCATCTCTTATAGTCTCACTTCCAGTCCTAGATTTTCTTTGATACTACTTAGTTTTTGTGCTCTTTCACTCAAACATTTCACTAATCCTATTTTAGTGACATAGGAAGAGATGATACGAAATCCAAATATACGTTTGAGTGTGTGGATTTCATGTAAGCACACACTAGTGTTTAACTTCCATCTTCTTTCCTTTTAACGTTGCAATCTAACATTGGGAGTTCACCTGCTTGACTTTCCAATGCATAAGTGAAGTGTAATACGAGTGATTCAACACTTGTCCACCCAGATAACTGGAAAATTTTACTATCCCGACGACGACAAATAGGAAAGTACAAAGAAAACTATAAAAACTCAAGTTTCGAAGTCGTGTGATTGTAATTGATGATATGATTATGAACAGGAAGAAAGAAGAAACAAGACAAGGAATGGCTCTCAATGAACACTTGGAAGCTAATAGAGGAGAGGAGAATGGTGAACAAGGAAACGATTCAATGCAAAGACGGACAGAAGAAGGAGACACTGAGCTCAACTTACACAGCACTGGACAAAGAAGTGAAGAAGAGTGCTAGGAAGGACAAAAGACAATTCTACGACAATCTGGCCACTGAAGCTTAAAAGGCAGAAGACAAAAGGGACCTGGAGACATTATATCAGAATACCAAGTCTTTATCCGGGAAGAGATCAACACAGGTGAAACCTATAAAAGACAGCCAAGCGAACCCAATGACCAAGGAAGAAAGACAGATTAAACAATGGGTGGATCACTTCAAAGGACTCTTGAACCGACCGACACCTGCAACCAACCACCGTCCAGAAATACCAACAACAGCGCGCACGCAACTATAAGTTGACAGTTATCTTGCAACGAAAGCTGAAGTCTTGAATTCAATTAAGCTTCTGAAAGCTGGAAAAGCAGCTGGACCACATGGAATACCCTCTGAAGCACTGAAAGCGGACCCAGAGACTACAGGAGACATGCTGACGCCATTATTGCAAAAGGTCTGGAAGGAGGGAAAGGTGCCTACTGACTGGAGGAAAGGTTACCTCGTGAAACTACCAAAGAAGGGCGACTTAGGTCCCGCTCTGCAAGAACTGGCGAGGAATCATGCTCCTATCGACGCCAAGTAAAATCCTGAGTCGCATCATCCTGGTGAGAATTAAGGACGCACTGGATACAGAAATCCGCCAGCCTGAAAAAGCTGGATTCAGGAAAAGCGAAACATGTTCTGACCGAATTGCAACTCTAGGCATCATCATCACAAAACAAAGCATGGAATGGCGATGAAACCTCTACCTCAACTTTATAGACTTCGAGAACGCCTTCGACAGCGTTAACCGTGAAGAAATTTGGAAACTACTCGAGTACTACGGCATACAGTGCCCCAAATATTCATCAACCTTATTCAACAGCTGTACGACAACGGCACATGTCAAGTGATCCACAACGGAAAACTCAGCAAGGCGTTTGGAGTAAACACAGGATTCAGACAGACAAGGGTGTTCACTATCACCAATGATATTCCTAATTGTGGTGGACTGGATTATGCGTCAGACAGTGAGTGGGAAACGAGAAGACAGGAATATCCTGGACCGACGTGAAGAACCTAGAAGACCTGGATTTCGCGTTTTATTTTAATCTATTTTCTCCTTTATACGTTTAAGCCATTCCGGCTTCATTGTAAAATGAATAGTGAATTGATCGTCTTTCCAAGATTCAAGCATCACTCATCGTTCTAAGACTCAGTCACCTTCGTAACACTTGATGTCACACAAAATCGAAGACATACAAGCGAAAACCGGCAAACTGGTCTAAGAAGCATCAAAGACAGGACCCTCATATTTTTTCTATGTGACTATTTTTTCTCTCACATATGCCACACTCAGTTAGTCAGTCACTCAGTCTGCAAAAAAGTCATAGTTGTCGACGCAATGTGTGACCCCCTACACACACCATACGATTACAATATCAGATCTCAGATTTATTAATTGAGGATAGAAGGCTTGAAGTCAATGTTAATCCTCTTCCAGAAAATTCCTATGCTTCACCAAACCCTTTTGAACGAATGAGTTAATTGAGGGCGCTGACACCACTTCTTCTGGGGAGTTGGTTTCAGGAGTTGATGACTCACTCAGCGTAAGAACCAGTACTACAGCACAGCGAACGATATAGTCTCTCCTTAGCTTTTGAACTCTCCTGCTACTATGTCCTCCCAGTTGGTGTTCCGACAGATCCTACCCCCACTCCACCGTATTTTGTTTTACGCAAAGTGTACACACTCATACATAAAAGAAATAGAGGATAAAATTACTATTATAATTATAAGCATAATCATAATAACGATATTAAATAATTAAATATTCACTACTTTTTACTTACCTAATATCACATACGCAGAAATATACTCAAAGAAGATAAGATAAGCTAACAAGCACAATTCGGTTTGGACGGTGAAGACTTTTTTAAATTGGCTGTGCCTTCTGTATTCCCATGGATACGTGCTTTGGTTACTGAGGCTTCAATTCTAGTCATGACTAAATCCAGTAGACGATCAACAGCAGCTGTCACCTGATAGCCAGTAGCGGCACTTGTCTCTATGTAAGGTACGCTAGAAGTAAGGGAACGGATAAAACACAGCTACAGGAGAATGATAATTATAAAAGTAAATAGGTAACAATACTTATAAACTATTATTTGAATTTACAGATGAGATAGCAATAGAATCCAGGCTACTCAAATCGTCCGTGTATCCAGTTTGCTGTATGCGGGCCGGTGGAGGTCTGGCGGATGAAATCCCTAGTCGTACATTGAAAGCTAGGGTGGCGCATACGTCAAGTTTAGGCCACCTGTGACACCGTCACCACGTTAGCTAAGCTGTTAAAAGTCGGGTTTACAATGCTTCGGTGTGTGAGATCTCACTTTAAGCCTGTGAAATTTGATCTCCGATCATCGCTGCCTCCATACAACTGCCTGCATCCGACAGCATCATCGTGTAGGCGATTTCAAGGTCCGTCAGTGTACGTTTGGACATGGTGTAAGCCACTGGTCATTGAGTGTAGTCATCTCAAAACACTGGCTTTGGTGGCTTAGACATGTGCCACGAATGTCATCCCTGAGGCAGAAGTGGAAAAGGGGTCAGGCCTATGGTGTCGAACTGTGGGAAGAGGGATATTTGTGTTAGATTAGCATTGACTGGTAAATCACGACTCTCTGGGTGCATTCGTGAGATAAGTTCGAATCAGTAGCTCAAGACGTTATCAAATATGGCCAAGAATCACAGACATCAATGGTAAACATGCCGTAATTTCCACCTTTCTTGCCTTTTTGAAAGTATCGTGAAGCGATGAATGTTGAATTATCTTGACTTGTAATGTTAGCTTGTTTTCTAGATGACGTACCACATTCATTCTCCGCCATTTTTTCATTCATTTTTGTTTTATTATTTGTGTGGCGCATCTCTTGGTTCCCATAATGTACCAATTTTGTATTACAAATAAATAAATAAGATGGTCTAAGTTTACCAAAGTGACTTCACTTAATGTAATGACATAATCAGGAATGAAGTTGAGCATCTACACTACAGACCATTGATTATATACTCAGCCCAGTACGATGGTTAGTCATCTTAAACAAACAAACAAACAAACAGTCATACAGGACAATGAAATAGCCTCAGTATCCATTAGTATTCCTAATTTACACTTGTAAAAACAGTGCTAGAGTGCTCACCAACCATGCATGCTCAGCGGCTCAATCCTCGACCAACGTACTCGCTCCTAAACCTCGCCGTGTTTAGCAGCCGGTAGTCCATCTGGATGAGAGGGGATATGGGCGTGAGGTTAGCAATCCTATCACCACCCAACAAAAACAACACGGCTAATAAGATGTTAAGCTTGCAGCTCTATGAACCCCCTCGGGACTCAAAGAATGAACACAAACTACGATGTATGATAAAGAGCTTCACAGCGTAAAGTTAGCCTTTTCAGATAACCACCTTTAATAAACAAAAAGTAATCACCAGCTTTCTAAAGGTGATCTTTCTTATCGACTATGCACAACTGACAACGATTTGCTACTATTATTAGTAGAATTATTACCACTATGACTATAGCTATTACTACTACTACTACTATTACGGCGGCACTTTCGTCACTTGACAAGTTGAAAAGGAAGATGTGGCTGACTGGTTCGACCCTTTTCAGTTTCAGCTAAAAAGTCCCAGGGTTCGAATCCCAAGAGTTATACACAATCCAGAGTAGTATACATTTACGCACAAACTAAGTGTAATTATATCTCAGTCAGGCGATTTCCAACAAAAGCATGGGTGATCAGCTTAGAATTCATACTCCTTCAGTGGTGATACATACATCTGTGAACGCACAACACAATTTCCCCAAACCATGGAGTTATTTTTCCCTATTACCAAGAAAAGAAAAAAAAAAGAGATATGCGGCGAAAAGAATAGTAATATAGAATATAGTTTTATCGGATATTATAAGACACAAGGAGTAGATGCATCTGCGCCAGTCATTGACAACGACGATTTTGAGCCGTATCACTACTTGTCTGCAGCCTATATTGGTTCTTACCGTCTCCAGGACCCCAATCACGAAGTTTACACCTTCCTTCATGGGTTAAACTAACTTTTGTGGATTTCATTGACTGATGAAGTCATGTTTTCGTTTCACCACCATTGGCTCTTTTCCAACCTGACCTTATGTCAGCTAACATTGCCAGGTGTCGCCAAAGTTGACGGCTGGGCATACGTAACACATATCCTAACCATCTCAATCGATGTAACTTCACAGGCTGGACTATTGGTTTCCCCTCCTTGACTTACCTGGCACTCAACGGAAGCCTAACAAACTCAATATTGCCCACCTTATTATACCACCACCTGAGACAGAACATAGGCACCTATGAACAAAGACAGCTAGGTAGTCAGCCTTTTCATGTCTTCCACTTTCAATGGCCATGTCTCGCTCACAGTCATAAAGGAGGACGGCTGTAAGACCTGGCCACTGAAAATGAAAGACATGGAAAGGCTGGTGGTGGACCGGATAAACAGGATAACTGAACTACCTTTAAGGTTTCGAGTGAACCATGTGGTTTCAACAGTACACCTTCCTATTTCACTCTGCCCTTAGTAATCCTTCTTAGCTGACTCTATGATTGCTCACTAGCTTTCATTTCTTCCTCACACGAACACCTCCAAGTCACCAATGGAGTCACACACACACACACCCAACTCATTGTTTCCCACCCGGGTTCCACTCGACGATCAGTCTGTCACGTGATGTCAACCAACAGTCTCCCCTAGCGTATAATGTTCAATCAATCTCAACTCCCCTATGCATATTTGTTGGGTATTAGGTCCTTTGGTTGGTTCGTTGCCTGCTAGAAAGGTCCTTGTTACTTATCTCTCCTAGACATCTGATCTTCAATATGGAGCTGGCGAATACAAGTGTTATTGAAAGTCTGCAGTAGCTGGCTGAAAATAATTTCTGTGATGCAAGAGTCGTCTGATATGAAACATTAGCGGTGAAGATCCTGATCTTGTGTTCTTATGCGCTGAGGTGTGCAGTAGATTCCCAAACTGATTTATTTTAGATTAATGAAGAGCTGTCTTTTTTTTCCCATCCGGGATGTCTAAAATTATACCTCTGTCTAAAACTCTATTACCTTGGAACTTTGTTCAAGCCAAATAACCATTCAAGTTCATCAAAGGAAAGCAACTTTGTTTTTCTGGCGAGAAGACTCCCACTTCATGTCAAAGTCGACAGATAAAAAGAATTACTGCCCTTAATTATGAAGCCTCAAAACACACACGCAATAAATCAGAACCTAAATTTGATATTTGCTTTATTATCTTAGTAATGGAGACATGGGGAAAGACATTTTATAACTGAAAATTAGAAATTATACTGCGAAATTCGTGTACCACCCTTAAACACCACCACCAAGTGGGTGTACTTCAACAATCTCGGAAAAACTTCAAACTGCTCAGTATACATCGATTTCAGTGTTTGTCAAACCAAATACACACACACACATATATATAAGGTACACAAAGGCGACTGTCTACTCGCTTAATGTGGAGCATTTGACAAAGTGGTTGAAACACAGATGAAGTCAAAGCGACAAAATCTTCAATGACAATATAACAGCATCATCTTGAGGACTACGGAAATTATGTTGACGTGACACCACGTCAGTCAAGTCATTCATTGTCGCCGCCAGTCAACAGACAGACAAACAAACAGGAAGATGCTCGAAATAATACCCAAGCCTTATGCAGCAGTTACACTTTGATTATAAACCAGCTGGTCTGTCTGCCTCTCTTTCTCTGTACAAAAGGAAATCCTGGTCATTCTCAATCTACCATGATAATAGATTCTACATATTAACTCTTCTCATTATTATTATTCATATTGATATTTTATTCTACCTCTTATTATTGGCATTTCTGATTCATTTATTCAAAACTATCTTTCATCTCTACCATTATCTTGACTCGTTTCAACATGAACACTACTCCTACTGTTGTTGTTATTATTATTATTAGTAGTATTATAATCATCAATATTATTTGCTTAGCAATTCATCATATATTCAAATCCGTTCAATCACTGATAACTAATTGTTCATGTAAGTGATGTGCAATTTAACCGTAATGCACCTTGATTTTATACCCGTGTAAGGAGAGTATCCGGCTGAGCAGGAGTTCTAACGAAATTTGATGATGAACTCATTTAATCCTGCCCTATTAACAGCATTTTGTTGCTTGCTTGAAAATGTGATAGCGAATATAATATTGTCAGACCCCAAGCATCATCTCTATACGCAGCTGTCTCCTTGCATTTCATCTGGTACAACTAGAAGCAGCTATAGGAGGCTGGCTATATGCTAGGACTACCATATCTGGCACAGCTGTTTTGTGATGACAAATCCGTTAGGTACGACACGATAAACTTACTGCGGCAATCTAACAAATAGTCCCATTAGTTTTTGTTTTCTTTTCCTCGTTACTATTACACTGTTGTTCTTATCGACTAGTACACATCAACTTTATATTTCATATACTGTGGTGCACTGTTTGAAATGTAAACGCTACGCTGTTTTTTTTAATTTTTATTTATCTTTCATTTTTTGGCGTTGGTTTTTTTAAATTTATTTATTTATTTATTTTAAAAATCTTATAAAATTTATGAGGTAATTAGATGCAATATGTTGTAATGCACGCTGAAAATTCCATACCTGTACCACAAATACTGTTTGGAATAAAGCTATTATTATTATTATAATCAGCTTCTGTAAATTGTCTTACAGTATTAGTTTCTAGGGTGGAAAATGGACTGTCCATCTTGGCACTGAATGACTGGTTTCAACGTCGTAGAACTACTTTGTACAGATGTGCAGCACTTCCAGTCGCCACACTCCAGCTTCTTCTCTATGGCTCTGAAACATGGCCAATACGAGTTGAAGACATGAAAAGGTTGACTGTTTTTGATCATAGATGTCTACGATCTCTTTCTCACGTTAGCTGGTTTAATAAGGTAAGTACTGTTGACGTTAGCCGTAGAGTGTTGGGCAAAGAGGGAAAATCGA